CACCATCCACTGGTTCACCCCCACCCCACCTCGGTGTGTTTTTCAAGTTGCCAGGTCCAGGGCTTGAACCATATGTCAGCCATATGGGATCCAGCTGCCTTAACCACCATGCCACTGGCTGACCCACACCAGATGATTCTCATATGCAAGTGTTTGGGTATCAAGAAAGTCACAGAAAGCTGTGATGACCTTTCTCCTCTAGTCTCCAGCCTCATCCTCTAATCTTGATATTATTTTTTAAAGTTTATTTTATTTCTTCTCTCAGAAAGACAAAGAGAGAGAGAAAGCACTTTCTCTGTAGAGAAAGCACCCTAACGTAGTGGCCCACCCCCCAGCCTCAGCCAGCTCTGAATCTTGGGTACATGGGTGCCTGGTGTATGTGGGAGGTCTCTGGGTGTGAACCTGGGACCTTCCCACGTGGGTCGGCCCTGCAGAGTTTTGCTTTTCACTGCTGCTACCATTCAGCCCCTAATCCCATGATTGTTTATGGGATTATTGCTACAAGGCCAGTTTAGTCATTTCTTTCTTACCATAGCTTTTTTTAGATGTGATTTTTATTTATTCAAAAAAAAAAAAAGAGAGATAGATTTCTTTAGCAACTGTATTCTGAAGAGCTCTTAATTGCTGTACTTAGAACTTCTAAACAGTGAACATTTGTTAAGCATCAAAATAGCAGAATGAGGGAGTTGGACCTTAGGTGACGAGGAGGGCTGTCACGTCGGCTCCCATGCGTGCCAGGGGACAGGGGCCACACAGATCCCCGATTCTGAGCACCATTAATCAGTGACCTAGAAACACTTCTATTTATTTATTTTTGTGTGTGAATAAACCATTCGCAATTTGTCTTGTACCCACCGTGGCACGTGTTAAACGTGGAGCAAGGCAGCAGTTCCCCACACCCACCCGCTCCCTCTCGTGTCATTGTGTTTCAAACCTCATCCCACCCCACCATCACACACTCACGTCATCATTTTTCAGAAGGGGTGCCAGTTTCGTGTTTAGACTGTGTTGTCACCCCAACATACGTCTTACATGTTGTGACTTAGATACACAAGTGACTCTTGAAGGACCAAGGACCTGGTCTGTGCATCATTTCGCCCTCCTCAGGTGGTCTGGGCCTGGTCCCCCAGCCTACCCTCCAAACCCTCCAAAGTGCAATTAGAAATAAAGAAAATAGCACAGGAAGCTCAAGGCCATGCCAAGCAATCCATTTCATCTCAAACAAAAAAGAAAAAAAAGTGTGTGTGTGTGTGTGTGTGTGTGTGTGTGTGGGTGTGGGTGTGGGTGTGTCGGGGGGAGGGTAGAAAAGAGGCTGGTAAGAGGTGTAGAACTTGGTTAAAATTTCTAACCCAAAGCGTGAATTTTAAGAAAGCATTTATTTCTGGGTTGCAATCCTACTTGCCCATTTCTGTGAATAATCAACATGCGATCTAACGTGAATAATAGCACAGAGCAAATTCAGCCCCCTGGTTTTTGCCATCTCAAGCGCCCACTTTAGGCCCGTGAAGCAGAAGCTATTTACAAAGTCGCAGGGGTAGTAACGATAAAAGTGACAGCAATGATAGTCATGGCTGACATTCACTGGGCCTTTCGGTGTGCCAGGCACTGGACCATGGACTTTACACAGGTTCTCTTTTAATCTTCACAAGAATGTTTTGAAGTAGGTTGAGAACTATTTCCATTTTACAGATGAGGAAAGTGATATTCAGAGGGGTTATACAGCTAGCGAGTGGTGGGGTCAGTTTTTGTTTTGGAGAGTTTTTTTGTTTTGTTTTTGTTTTTTTTTTTGCTATAGGATGCACTTGCTTGCTAGAGAGGAAGAGAGACCAAAAGTGAGAAATCACCCCCTGGGGGATGGCCACACCGCATTCCCTTCTCCTCCATTTTCCTTTTGGGTATTGGGCATGCATACACATGCACCTGACATGAGTTTCAAGCCTCTAGGTCCAGAACTTGAAGCTCTGTCAGCTCTGTGGGAGTTCAGTGATGTAACCATTACATCATATACTGGTCCTGCCAAAAGTTTTAAATTTTTTTTTAATCATTATTATTATTTTTTAATTTGACCAAAGAGAAACAGAGAGACAGAGAGAGAAAGTGAGAAAGCAAGCCACCAAGTCCAGGACTTGAACCACAGTCGACCATCTGGGAGTCCAGCACTTTAACCACCAAGCCTGTCTCTCTTCACCATCTGCCAGTCCCATGGGGTCAGTTTTGGAACAGAGAGGCATAAGGGTTGGCATTAACTCACTCGGCCATCCCATAGCATGAGTGTAGGTGGCTGTCACTGGGGTGCAGCGAGCCAGCACTGTCATTCATGCCAGCCCCTGTCATTGGGCTAGAGGCAGCTGGGAGAAGGGTGTCTTGCTACTGCTGGGAGCGGACCTCTCTTGGCAGGGTAGTAGATTGGGGCAGCAGAAAGCAGGTCTTCACCTACTGTAAGACCTGAATGCTCATTGGCAGCCAGCTCCTGCAGCCCTGTTACCAGGGCAACAGAGATGGGGACTGTGGCCCTCTGCCACATCCCTCTATACAGAAAAACCTCTGCCAGCTGTTGCTCTGGCCTTCCCCTTCACCGATCCCAGTGCTCACACTGGGTATTAAGCGAGACGGGATGCCCAGGATGAGAACTTTGCTCTCCACTCATCATTAACTGCTTCTAGGAATGAGGCCCAGCGTGTGCGTTATATATATGAGGGGACTTCAGAATGTTTACAGAAACATAGGTTTTCAATATGGGCTTATTTTTTAAAAAATAATTTTAAATTTTATTTATTCATTTATTTATTTTAATTTGACCAGAGAGAGACACACAGAGAGAGTGAGAGAGGGGGAAAGTGTGAAAGCAAGCCACCAGATCCAGGCATCGAACTGTGGTCAGCCATGTGGGAATGTCCAGCACCTTAACCACCACACCACCTGCTGGTCCCTCAATATGAGCTTATTTTGGTGCAAAAAAAAATTTTTTTTTTAAATTCACACATAGCTTTTTCATAACATACATTTACCATGAACTCTTTGAAGATCCCGTGTAGGTATGTCTTTTTTGTGGGAGGGCATTCTCTACCTCACTGTCAGGAAGGCATGCTGTTATTTTTGTGATAGTTTCTTGAGAGTTACATGAGGTACTTCAAGCCTGTCTCTCTTCTCCAGCTTCCTAGTGAGACCAACAGAAACCATCTGTTTTCTGGTAGGTGACTTAATTTCTCTGGGCCCTCAATTTCCTCATCTAGAAAATGAGGATGATTGGGACCAGCAGTGGCGTAGTGGTTAAGGAACCAGACTCCACATAGTTGACTGTGGTTCAAGTCCCAGACTTGGCTGCTTGAAACTCATGCTGGCCTCATGTGGATACATGCTCAAAATCTCAAGATGAGAATGGAGGGAGAAGGGATTGTGATGTGGCATCCCCCCTGGGGGGTGATTTCTCGCTTTTTGTCTCTCTGTCTCCCCAGCAAGTGCACATGTCCCTTGCCAAAATATCTTAAAAAAAAAAAAAATGAGGTTGATCAGTCTTACCTGCCTCATAGAGTTGTTATGGGGAGTGAAGAGTTAAAACATGTCTAGCATTTGAACTGACCCAGGAAGATAGCCAGTGCTTAGTAAATGTATGTGTTTCTAATTGCTGCTGTAACAAAGACCACAAACTCCATGTCTTACAACAGCACACATTTAGCATTTTACAGTTCTAGAGGGCAGCAGTCTAAAATGATTTCACTGAGCTAAACTTAGTGTAGACAAGGCTGCACTTCCTCTAGAGGCTCTAGAAGGAAATCTGCTTTTTTTTGCCTTTTCTAGCTTCTAGAAGCTGCCCACGTTCTTTGGCTCGGGAACTCTTCTTCCATCCTCGAAGCCAGCAGCATAGCAACGTCAAATATCAGACGGTGCCCTCTGCCCCCATTATAATATCTTAAAGAAAAAAAAAAAAAAGAAGTAGCTCTTCCTCTCCTCTGCTTCTGTCTCCTGAGGACCCTCATGACTGCACTGGATCCATGCAGATAATCTAGGACAGGCCCCTCATCTCAGGACCCTTAACTTCATCACAACTGCAGAATCCCCTTTGCCATTTGTGGTAACACACCACAGCTCCTGGGAATTCGGACATGGGCATTTTTGGCAAGGGAGCACAGGTGTTATTTGGTCTAGCATCATAAGCCTTAGATTTTTTTTTTTATCTAAAATGAAACAGACCCAAATTGGCTAGATTGAGGATGGGGGAAAAAAACAACACATTGATCTAGTTAGTAACTCGCAACTTCTAGTACATGCTTCCTGCATTAGCTCCATCCAGCCTCAGGACCTTTGCACCTGCTATCCCCTTCCCTGGAGCTTGTTTCCTTCTGCAACTTTGAGTGAATAGCTGCTTATTATCCGTCAGGTCTCGGGTCAATGTCTCCCTGTCCAGAAGCCCTCCCAGATCACCCTTGCCTAAAACAGGCCCCCAGCTCCATTGCCTCTGTCCTACCGCATCATCTTGTTTGCTTCTTTCACATCATCTGTTGTAACTGTTTTGTTTATGTGTCTGCCTGATGCGTTCTGTCTGCCCCGTATAGAATGTCAGCTCCAGGAGGGCAGGGGGGGACCTTGTCTGTCTGTTCACGGCTCCATGTCAGTGCCTGGAACAGAGTGGGTACCCAGTCCCTGCCTGTCAGGTGAGTAGGTGAGTGAAGCCCTGTCCAGCTCAATGTCAGGCATTTAATGCTCATGCTCCTTGGTGGCAGGAACTTTGATTGTCATTCCACCTTACAGATAGGTAGACGGAGGCTCAGAGGGACCGAATTGAGACTGATGGCAACCGAATTTGCACCTAATTCCACCTGCTTCCAGAGTCCTCTCCTCCTCCCTGCTTCTTGGCCTTGATGTCATTAGAAGCTGTTGAGCCAGCCTCGCCGGCAGCCACAGAGTGGGTGCTGACAGGCCCTACATCGGTGCCGGAGCTTCTGAACGCAGCTTCTCAGGCCCACCCATGACCACCTTGACGCTGGTTTTCCTCTGTCTAGGTCTGTTGTGTCTGGTCTGGACTCCCCTGCCAAGACTAGCTCCATGGAAAAGAAACTCCTCATCAAAAGCAAAGAGTTGCAAGACTCTCAGGACAAGTGTCACAAGGTATTTATTTTCGCAGCCGGCCTCCCTCCTTGCTCCAGGATCCTTCCGTCAGTATATGCCAAGGGATCCGCCCGGGGCCGCTGCTGGCACTGAGCCACCTGATCCGTAGAGAGCGAAGCACTCTCTCCCTCGCTGAAGTCGCACCTCCAGCAGCTCAGAGGGAGATGAATTCGGGCCTTGCCGTTGCCGTAAATCCATTAAGTCTTAACCAGAGGAGGCCCTGGATTTAAAACGGCCCGTTTCTCAGCATGACCCAGCCAGATGTCTGCTTCTTCCGGCAGGTGGCGTGGGTCCTCACCTGTGGCCGCGATGCATCCCATCTGCTTTGAGTGAGGCGAAGTCTCTCCTTCCTAATCTTTTAAAACTCCTGCTTATATCACCGCGGCCACTGTCTCGATTATCTCAACGTCTCTTAACACTCACTGCTCCTGCCCAGAGACAACCCTCTGGAAACTAATAAAAGTCACTGCTTGCCTGGGACTCCTAAGAGTGCAGACGAATAAATCTCTCCTTGCCCTGTCCTGGATTTGTCCTCTAGATCTTTGCAAGGAGATGGGGGGGATCAAGATGGATTTGGGATAAAATTAAAGTGACGTCTGCAAAAACCAAACCAAACCAAAAACCAAAAAAGCAAGCAGGTGAAAATATGATGATTGTGGCTTCCTTGCCAGCTGGGTGGTTAGAGAAGTGATCAAGTGTGAACCGGGACTTGAATGAGAGGAGTGACTTAGCGTTTGGTGACTGTCCTTAACGAAGAACTGCGCGCGCCCGGGAGAAGAAACAATGGTATTTCCATCCCCACTCTTGGCGAATTAGCGCTCGCCCAGACCACCAGGTGGTTTCGGAGGCGACTTGAGATTTGATTGCTCCTAACGCACCTCCACGGGCCCTTTTAACCTGTCGATGTGTTTATTTCAGATGGAGCAGGAAATGACCCGGTTACATCGGAGAGTGTCAGAGGTGGAGGCTGTGCTTAGTCAGAAGGAGGTGGAGCTGAAGGCCTCTGAGACTCAGAGATCCCTCCTGGAACAGGACCTTGCCACCTACATCACAGAATGCAGTGTGAGCCTTCCCCGAAGCCCTCTTTCCTTGGAGGCGGCACTTCCTGTTGTGTGTGTCTCATCCTGTTTCATGACAGCTCCATGAGGCACATCACAGCCAATGGCAGAGAGCAGAGAGAGGGAGAGGACAAAGCTAGGTCTGTGATTGGCAGGGTAGCAGGAGCCAGGTGTGAGCCCCCAAGAAACCAGGTTGGGCTCGTTTCCAGCAGGAGGTCTCGGTACACTGCTGCTCCTATAGAGCCTGGAGATGGGGTCAGCCATGACTGCAAGGAGTTCACAGGTCTGAGCATCTCCCCTCCCAACCTCTGTGGTCTGTATCATGTCCAACACACGATTAGCCTTGGGAACCAAGCTCCCAAACACGTACACGAGAACATCTTTCAAATGAAATCAACTTGTTTTTGCCTAGAGTAAGGGTAGCCATGAGAAAACTCAGCCTTTAATACCCAGACCCTCTGTCATTATTTACCATGTGACTTTTGTTTTTTCCTTTCCTTCACAAGAGTGGACTGTCTTCTCCATTGTCTCGTTAAATTTCTCATTCAGGTGTTTTTTTAATGTGCCCAATTCAACAGTCTTAAGAAGTTGAATCACACATTCTTACAGTTCCCCCCCTCCCCTCTCTCACAAGGGAGAGGAAATCTATAGAATGTGGCTGATTAAGAATAACTGCTATGTTTCCATTCCAGACTTGGGTGCCTTTCAGTGGTGGGTGAAGCTATTCAGCTATGTATTTCAGATGTATATTTCAGTGCCATTGAAGAATTGAGGGAGCCTTATGGATGAAAGGTGCCCAGGAAAAATAAGCCAGGAGGTGGAAGTAGACCATGCGGAGTCTTAAATGACAATTGGGCAGAGAATTAAGTCAGTGTTCCTTTGAAAGAAGCGTATATATCTGAGAATCCCCAAATAACTGATATTACAGAAAAGACTTTGTAGCTATCCAAACAGTGGTTGCAGCAGCGAAGGGATCTTTTTAATTTTTTAGTACTGGACGTGCAAGTAAGTATCTACTAAGACTAAGATGGGGATGGTGGTGGGAGGCAGGCTGATGCCCTTTCAGGCTGCAGTCATAAGGTCACAAGCTCAGGGTGATGTTTCTTTAACCAAGGGAGTTTTACAGGATGAAAACTGGAATCGGCAACCAACTGGATATTGTCAACTTTGGTCCGTCACTCGAAACCGTCCTGGTGTCTGCGAAGCAGCTTGCAGCTCACTTAATGAGTCTTTTCAAACAGCAGAATCCACAGGGCATCCCTATTAAAATTTTTGCTTTCCGCAGAGCTTAAAGCGAAGTTTGGAGCAAGCACGGATGGAGGTGTCCCAGGAGGATGACAAAGCACTGCAGCTTCTCCATGATATCAGAGAGCAGAGCCGGAAGCTCCAGGAAATCAAAGAGCAGGTAGGACTGCTTGCATGGGAGTAGGGTGGCAGCTGGCCGACTGGACCTCTAATTCCAGGAGAGGCGTGTTTGAGACACAGAAAACGAGGTGGGGAGAGGAGGAGAGAGACAGGTATCTAGGTCACTTGGAAACTAGATTTCCTATGACTTATGTAAGTCTTAGAGTGCTTGTCCCAGCTTTTTTTGAAGTCTGCACCCCATAATGTCTATTCTATATAGGTTTAGTGCAAGAATGGGCAGACTTCAGCCTATGAAGCACATCTGGCCCGTGCTCTATTTTCTATGGCTTGCAGGCTAAGAATGTTTTTTATTTATTTATTTTTAAAAAATTAAAGTACGCTAGAGTGTATGTCTTTGCTAAAGAGTGACAGAGAGAGATGGGAGGGAGAGAAAGCACCCCCTGTGAGGAGTTGGCCACACCACAATCCCTTCTCCTCCTGAGATTTTGGGCATGCGCACATATGCACCTGGCATGTATTTCAAGCCACTGGGACTCAAATCATGCAGTTGGTCACATAGAATCCAGCCCCCTTCACCACCACACCACTCGCTGGCTTCAAGAACTGCTTTTACAGCTTTAAACAGTTGGGAGAAACATGCCTCCTCAAAATATTTTGTGGCATGTGAGAATAATACGAAATTCAATTTCAATGTCTGTAAATAAAGTTTATGGGAACACAGCCACACTCATCCATTAACATCCTGGTTGTGGCTGCTTTGCCCCTACAAAAAAACAGAGGTGAATAGTTATTACAGACTGTGCCCCACAAAGTTGAATCTGCTTACTATCTGGCTTGTCATTTATAGGCAATGTTTGTCAACCCTTACTTTAGGTGGCTAGAAAAAAAATAAAAACAAAAATATTAAATATTTGATAGTGGGCCAGCTGGTGGCATGGCGATAAGGTGGCTAGATTCCACATGGCCAACTGTGCAGTTTGAGTCCCAGACCTAGTGGCTTGAAAAACACACCAGGCACGTGTGCATGTATACCTAAAATCCTGGAAGGAGTGAGTAATGGAGGAGAAGGGATTGTGGTGTGCCTCCACCCAGGGGGAGTTGCTGTCTCACTTTCTTTGTCTTCTCTCTCTCTCTGTGTCTCTCTGTGTCTCTCTCTGTCTCTCCAGCAAGTGCATTTGGCCTAGAGCAAAAATTCCAAAAACATCATACATAGAGAGTAGCTTTTTAGACGTCTTATAAGTTTTTGAGAGAAGCCAGCGTCATTCATAGTTTTACTTATATGAAGAAATATTCTAAAAGGAAAGTTTGGGCCATTCAGGCCAACTCAGAATTAACACGGCATATCCGACTGAAGAACGTTGTCCCTTCTGTGTTCAGAAAAAAGAACCGAGACCTTTAAAAAGCCTACTCTCTTTTTCCCTTTCTAAAATGGTTTTCTTTTTAGATGGCTCATTTTTATATCGCCTCATTGTTTCCTTTTTAGCATGATTTTTTTTCCTGTCTTTTGAAGAAACTGTAAATAGAAACTTTAATGAAGCGATGGCAATGAGAAATTGGAGAGCTGAATTATCAGCTGCCAGGCAACTCTCATTCACTTCGGAAAATCTACTGAAAACACTGATGGAAACGCACATTTTTGTCTCTGGGTAGCACAAACTTAGCCATCTGGGTGGTGCGAATGTAGGAAACTCCTGCAAATAGCTTGATCTATTAATTACGCTTTAAAGAAAGAGTGATCGTCTTTGGGGTTTTTGTGGGCATGATTTATCACCTTCATATTTTTACATTCTGGGCTAATATCCTCCTGCTTAGTAACACTATAAATAAACATGCATAGGAAACTGCAAGTGGACCACCAGGAGTTGGAACGGTAAAATACTAACCTTAGAGATTTTGAGGGCCACGCAAACCCTTTGAGAAATCCGGTTTGACTGTTGACTCATGGGTCCTTTTATCAACACAGCTTTTCATCCTAAAAATTCCAAGAGGTAAGGGTTCTTTTTTTCCTCTTAGTTCAGTGTGTTTGGAAATTTACTTTCGGTGATGTCCTGGGGAAATGAAAGCTTGTTTGGCCACCAGAGGGAGCAGCTGGTGTCCATGAGTGCCACAGAAACAGAATTATCAGGACATTTTGAAAAGGTATAGGCTAAAGACTGAGTTCAAAAGAACCCCTTTTATGATTCATAGCACAGTTGATATGCATGTGGCAGTTCAGATTTAATGGCTGCTAAAAGTTCCGCTGAGGAAAGGAAACTTCTCAGTTTCAGGTTTTATTTCTCATCGAACGGAAGATTTATTAGGATGACTTTTGGTAAGTTTTATGAGAGTAGAATGTTTGCAACAAGAAACAGCTCTTAATGCTTGCAGCAACCTCCCAGCATTTTGTCTGTAGCATATTGATTCCTCCCAGATTTCAGATTTATTCCCTTCTCGTCCTCACACAAGCTGATTGGCTGTACAGCTATTTATCTTTTTTTTTTTTTTTTTTTGAGATGTTTTTGCTATAAGGCATATGTGCTCACCCAAAAGACAGAAAGAGAAACAGAAAATGAGAAATCAGCCCCCAGGGGGGATGGCCACACCGCAGATCCCTTCTCTTCCATTCTACTCTCGAGATCTTGGGCACACACGCACACGCGCCCAGTTTGAGTTTAAGCCTCCGCGTTGGGACTCGAACCACGGTCGACTACGTGGGAGTCCAGCGACATAGCCATTACGCCAACTGTTGGTCCCCTATTTTTTAAAAAATATTTTGCTTCTACCTAGCTACCCCTTGGAGAGTATTTAGGCTTGGTTTAAAATAACATCAAGACGTCTCATGTGCTGGTTTGATTTGTACACCATTACTAGAAATTGCTGGTGGTCCCTTGCACTTCTCTTCTCAGAAAAGGAAACAAATGTGTCGGGCCCACAGACGTCATTCGTGTTTCAGGATTTCTGACTGGATGGGACCTTGCTTGTTACTTCCTCCCCACAAAGTCCTGAAGCTCTATTCAGAAAACTTGCTTTAAGTGGACCCCAAAAGTTGTCCCTCATTCTCTGTTCAACTCATACCTTTGAGGGGACTCAAAAACGTTTATGGACAAATGGAATTAAAGTAGAGTTTATTTACTGTCCTTCCTTCCTTCCTTGCTTTCTTTCCCTCCCTCCCTCCCTTTCTTTTTTCTTTTCTCTTTTAATTCCAGAGACAGAGGGAGAAAGCCCCTTCACCCCTGTAACCCACCCACCACCCCCGCCATGGGGTGCAGTTACACTGCAACCCTTTCTGCTTCACATCTCCATCCTGTCAGGATTTTAGACATGCACGCACGCACATCTGGTGTGTTTTTCAAGCTGTTGGGGCTGAGATTTGAGTTGCAGTTGGCCATGTGGGATCCGGCTCCCTTAACCATTAGGCTATGGGGCCAGCCTCTGAGTTTATTTTGATACAAACAATTGTTGAAATTCACGCTTGCTTTTTGGTTTGTTTGTTTTTAATAATGTGCATTCCCATGAACCCTTTGGAGACCCTCCTCATACAAGTGATTCCATGCTGAGGTACCATAGCTCTCTCAGTTGCCCTTGGAAACAGACCTGATTATCTTTTCTCAGATTTTTCCTGAAGCAGGGATTTGGTTAGCTATTGGATTTACAGGATTTTCTTAAAGTATCCAGCATAATCACAGAGGATCAACAAATGAGTTAGAATTCCTTTTGATGCTTGCAGCAAGCTGACTGCCCTCAGAGCTCAGAGAGCTGACAGAGATGTTGCCTGGTACTTGTTTTTTTCCCTCTTGGGTGCTGACAGCTCGGGAAAGAGAGATGTCGAGGGGAAGAAACAGACATTCTGTCCTCGATCTCAACAAACCACAAAAATGACATTCCCCTCTCGCTGACATAAATTCAAGAAAGAAAAGGGAATTTGAGGATAAAAGATGCCCAAGACTTTCTTCTAGTTCTTTCCTTTTTTTGCAGTTTAGTGTTTATCCCTGTGGGCAGTGCTAGCTTTTCCACTGAGCACAGCGGGCACAGTATGTAGGACCAGCTGGACTCCTGGGGGCCCATAAATGTTTACCTTTTTCAATCAGAAGAAAAAAAATGAGCTTTTAGGTCAAAGACACTATTTTCATAGGTTATTTTAGCATTTTTGTATTTACAGGAATGCAATTGTAAAATGTAACTTTTAAGATTTTTTTTCCTGAGATTTTTGTTATAGGGCACATACACTCGCTAGAGAGATAGGTAGAGACAGAGAGAGAGAGAGATGGTGACAAATCACCCCCTGGAGGTGTCATGCTGCAGTCCCTTCTTCTCCATTCTCCTCTTGGGATTTTGCCATGTAAGCACACGCACCTGGTGTTTTTTCCAAGTTGCTGGGTCTGGGATTTGAACCATGGAGTTAACTATGTAAGGTTCAGCGCCTTAACTACCATGTCACCTGCTGGCCCAAGATTTCTTTTCTTTAATGGAGGAGAGGATCACGGAAGAATCAATGCCCAGAGCCATAAGACACATAACATGGCCCTGGCTAGAGGACCTTGAAAAATCTCCAGGATAGGATGTGCCATTTCCTATCCGGCTCACCCTCCACTGTGAGTTCAGGTAATTGTGAGCGGGTTATAAAGACCTTTGGCTATATGATCTGTCATCATCTGCTTGGTGCACGTTACCCAGATAACCTGCATGCCCCATGATTGCTAGGACTGACCCTCCTTAACTGTGTGCTTTTGTTGGGAAGGAGTGAAGTAAGACCTGTGCTCTACTTCAGGCTCAATTTTTATTTTTTCCTTCTCTTCTGATACAGAGAGGTGTGCTTTCTTGAAAACTGTCCAATTTGTGTAAGAACATCACTTCCTTTTTAGTGCATCTGGGGGAAATCACCTATGAAAACCAAGTGAAAGATTTACTTTATACCTTGATATTAAAAACTTAGAAGTTGCAATTCATTGGTTTAAAAAGAAAAAACTCTTGCTCAATTGATACCTCCCGCACCTTGGGTTAGATAAATGTGCTTGTTGGGAACCAGCAGTTAGCGTAATGGCTATGTCACTGGACTCCCACATAGTCGACCGCGGTTCGCGTCCCGGACCCGGTGGCTTATAACTCACGCCGGGCCCGTGTGCGTGTGTGCCCAAGATCCCGAGAGGAGAATGGAGGAGAAGGGATTGTGGCATGACCATCCCCCCTGGGGGGTGATTTCTCGCTTTCTGTTTCTCTGTCTCTCTCTCTGTCTGTCTGGCGAGCGCACGCGCCCTATAGCGAAAAAACCTCCCCCCCCCAAAAAAAAAGATAAATATGCTTGTTCACAATCCTGGTTCTTGTCCTTCATTATACTAACAAAGAACATTTTTATATCTTGTTCCAAAGTTTCCAAAACCGTGGTCCATTTCTTCTGGTAAATCTAACTCTGAAAACCCTTTCATTCAAGTGTTTGTCTTGATTTTAGAAATTCATTTGGGAAAAGGTCGAGCCGCTTGGATCACTTGAAAGGATTTACTCAAGGGAGCAAGATAATTCTCACCTTGGAATTTTGCTCACCAGTTATTTTGACCAGAGTCAGTATTTTGTGACTCTTCCAAATTTCAGGGTGACTTGCATTGCAGGAACGTTGTTAAGTTCATCATTCAGTTTTGGGTCCAGAAAAATTAATGGTGAGAAACTGACATGATGAGTTTCACCTTCCCAGATGCTTTCCACCGAGATTTCCAATTATCCTCTTGTGCCGTCTGAAAGGTTAATTTTAAAACTAGTACCATATCTAATTGTGTTAGAGGCACACATGACTTCTAAAGGACAAATCTATATAGATGATTACCCTTGGAGGAAAACGAAACGTAAGCAGTTTATCCTGGTTGCTTAAAGAACATCTCTTCTGGCCCTCCTGTGCTATGCCTTCAGGTCCTGTGCATATTGTGTGGTGGTGTTTGTTTAAAGGATTTTATGATAGGCGGTTGCATTCCCAGTGGTTTTTACTAATGATACACGTTCTGCATTACAGTATTTAAAGGTTTAATGTTTATTTTTCCTTTCTCGTTCCTTTATTTTCTCCCCACTTTTACCGAGTTAATAGCTTTTTCTTGGTTCATCTTTTTTGTTTTGTTTTGTTTTCAGGGGTTTAGGCCTCAGGTGCTTATGCTTGCTGGAGAGAGACAGACAGTGAGAGGGAACGAGAGAAATCACCCCTAAGGTGGGATAGCCACACCACAATTCCCTCTCCTCCCCTCTCCTCCTGGGATCTTGGACATGTACGCACACACACACACACACACACCCGGCATGATTTTTCAAGCCACCAGGTCCAGGACTCAAACCACAGTTGACCTTATGGGAGTCTAGCAATATAACCGCTACGCCATCTGCGGGCCCTGGTTCATCTTTCTATTCACCTTCTTTTTTCTTTTTGAAAGCATTTACTTCTTCTTTTGAGCCAGTGAGAGAAGAGAAGGAGAGAGAGAGAGAGAGAGAGAGAGAGAGAGAGAGAGAGACAGCATCCCCATTAGGGTCCTCATGCCATGGTTCACCCCAGCCTCACATCATGGCATATTCATGTCTGATGTACTCAGGGAGGTTTCTGGATGTGAACTGAGAACCTTCCCACAAGGGGCAGCCTTGCAGCATAGTGTTTTACCTCTGCGCCACTACCTGGCTCCATAGCTGCCCAATTCTAAAGTTCCCCTTTATTCCATTGCCTATTCTTTAGGAGTACCAGGCTCAAGTGGAAGAAATGAGGTTAATGATGAACCAACTGGAAGAAGACCTTGTCTCAGCAAGAAGACGGAGTGATCTCTACGAATCCGAGCTGAGAGAGTCTCGGCTTGCCGCTGAAGAATTCAAGCGGAAAGCAACAGAATGTCAGCATAAACTGATGAAGGTGGTCAGCCGTCCTCCAGGGGGTGCTTCTGGGGCAAAAATCATAATCTTAACAAGAAATGAGCATAGGTTGGAGAAAGAATGGGATACTTTGGAAACTCCTGATCTCTATTTGTAGATGACGACCTTATTGTTATTTATTATCGTTACTGTTTTAGTCACGGAGAGCAAGAAAGTACAAAAGGTAGCGCTGGCTATAATACTCTTCGGCTGCTGAGATTTCCCAGTGTGCTATATCTTTTTAATTGCAGGCTAAAGATCAAGGGAAACCTGAAGTCGTAGAATATTCCAAACTGGAGAAGGTATGTGTTCCATGATTGATTTTACCGTTTTGGGTAGATAGTTGTCTCAACGTTACTCTCGGGGTCAGTCATTGATTAAGAATACTCTTGCAATGACGATGACTGGAGAACTCTCTTCCTGGCTTATTTGGATGGTCTGTCTCTGGGCGACCACGTTCAGCTTTAGCTGTGGTTCTGAAAGAGACAAAAGACACCTCGTTTTCTTGTTACACATGCTCACCGTTAGCAAATAAGCCTGGACACTTAGGAAAACTATGACATTCCTTGTCTTAGATGCTGGGTGACTTGGGTTCTCTGTTACTTATATGTTGCTGCTGCCTGAGAAATAGTCTATATGGAGGTTTGCACTGGGTCATTCGAAGGCTTCTCTGATAGACCCCTGTTCTTCCATTCCATTAGTAGGTTCTGGGGAACAAAAAGACCCCACAGAGACCTCAAAAAAAAGATTGCAATAAATATAGCAAAACACTAATGCTGATTTGTTTTTTGCTTTATTTTAATTATAGATCAATGCTGAGCAGCAGCTCAAAATTCAGGAGCTCCAAGAGAAGCTAGAAAAGGTAAGCCCGAGGTGATTTTTTGGGAACTAATCCTCTGTTTCTAAATACCTTCGTTTGCCTCATCCTAGAGTGCGAAAGATGAAGGAAGCAGAATTAGTCACCTAGCACTGAAGAAAATGTAGGGGGAGTGAGCTATTACCTGAAAACTTTGGAGTTCTGAATCTACTTTTTCCCTTTGAGACATGTCAGCAGTGTTTATTTTTAAAAACTAAACTGCGTGAAACTCTCAAGTAGAGGTTCTAATTATACTATGACAGAACCCAAGAGGCCTGCTTCTTTCTTCTCTGGGGCCCAGGCCCCCTATGTTACACATTTTTAAAGAGAAGCAGGGGCCATAAATGACCCATACTAATTTCTGTCAGAAATTCTGTGGGTAGGACTGGCAGGTAGCATGGTGTTTAAAGGCGCTGGATTCCCACGTGGCCTACTGTGGTTTGAGACCTGGACCTGGTGGCTTGTTTTCTCACTTTCCCTTTCTTTCTCTCTCTCTCTCTGGTCAAATTATAAAATAATAACAAATGAAATTAAGTAATTCTTTTTTTTTTTTTAGAGGTTTTTGCTATAGGGTGTGTGCACTCTCCAGACAGAGAGAGACAAGGGAGATGGCCATGCCGCAATCCCTTCTCCTCCATTCTCTTCTCAGGATCTTGAGCACGCATGCACATGCGCCCGACATGAGTTTCAAGCCACCGGGTCCAGGACACGAACCGCGGTCGCCTATGTGGGAGTCCAGTGACATACCCATTACGCTAACTGCTGGTCCCATAACTAAGTAATTCTTAAAAACAAAAAGAAAGAAACTCTGTGGGGGTAGCATCCTGCCTCATGGAAAGTTGGAGAACCCCTTGGTCCTCTTGTGGTTAAGGGTGGTGGGTTTATTTTATAGTGTGCTACAGAGTTTGCGTGAATGGCCCTTTATTTATTTTAAGTGTTTATTTTTTAACCTCTCCCAACTTTTATTAACATGTAATTGGGAGGGGCCAGCAGGTGACGTGGTAGTTAGGGAGCTGGACTCCTACATGGCTTACTGTGGTTTGAGTCCCAGACTTGGTGCCTTGCTTTCTCACTTTCTCTCTCTGGTCAAATTAAAAATTAATAATAATAATAATAAAATTAAATAAAATAATTACTTAAACAACATAGCTGGCAAATAAAAATCATACATATTAACTTTATACAAGATATTTTGATATATGAAGGGAGGGTTCTTCAAAAAGTTTGCAGAAAATGCATGTTTTGAAAAACTGCATGGATTTCAACAATTCTATGCAGTCTCCTGCTGTGTATACATTGTGAAATGATTAAATCACATTATTGGACATGTTCATCACCTCACCTAACTTATTTATTTTTGGGGTCAGAACATTTAAGATCTGACCTCTTGGGACCAGTACATGGCATAATGGTTACATTGCTGGACTTCCATGTAGTCAACTGTAGTTCAAGTCCTGGACCCGGGAGCTTAAAACTTATGTTGGATGTGTGTGCATGTATGCTCAAGATCCTGCAAGGAGAATGGAGAAGGGATTGCAGCATGGCCATCCCTACTGGTGGGGAGGGGGTGATTTCTCACTTTCTGTCTCTCTGTCTCTTCAGTGAGTGCAGGTGCCCTATAACCACAATCTCTCTCTCTAAAAGAAAATCTGCTCTATTAGCAATTTTTAGTTGAATACTGGAAACATTTAATGAAAAGGGTTTTCCCTCTCATGAAATAAAATCAATAAACTAGAAATTTTAAATTAACTGCAAATTAAAAATATAATAACTTCTCAGGCTAGCAAATGATGTGGTAGTTAGGGCACTGGATCCCAACGGCAACTCTGTGGCTCAAGTCCCAGACTAATGGCTTAAAAGACACACTGAGCACACGTGCATCCAAAATCCCAAGAAGAGAGTGGAGGAGAAGGGACTGTGGGGTAGCCACTCCTACTAGGGTGTGATTTCTCACTTTCCCTGTCTCTCTGTCTCTTTCTGTCTCTCTCTAGGGAGTGCATGTGCCCTAGAGCAAAAATCTAATAAAAAAAATTAATTTCTCTGGTACATTTCAATTACTTAGTGGCCACATGTGGATAATGGCCCTCCTGTTGAACAATGTAGCATTGGGAGTTGGAGTTTTCTTGTGGTTTCTACTGAAATTTTCTTTTTAAATTTTATTGATGTGTTCCATGAGAGAGAAAGACAGAGAGTATGAATGAGAGAAAGCCACAGGCACCTCCCCAACTGGGTCTTCATACCACGATCCACCTCTAGCTTCAGCAAACATAGATTAAGGGCATATGTGCAGGCCTGGCTTATACAAAGAGACCTCGGGTTGTGAACTTGGGACTTTCCTATAGGACCTTGGTGTTTTAGAGCCCTACAGTACCACTATACCACCATGGCTGACCCTACTTTTAAAAATGTTCATTCAAATCAAGTTAAGTGTGAAGTTGTTGGTCTCATAAACTCCCATCTTTCCCTCTATTGCTGTAAGAGCTATAGTATAGTTCAGACCCAAATAAATAATTAACAAATACAAACTTTAAGAGATTTAGCTGTTTGTTTGTTTTAATGTGGATTTGCATTTTTATTTAAAAACTACTGTTTGTCATGAACAATTTGGCTGTTGTACTCTTTGAAAGGTATCTGTTGGGGGGGAGAGTTTATAGCGTTTATCTCGTTTTCTTTTTGGAAAAGTAGTAAAAATTCTAAATAGGAAAATTGGCAGATGAAATAACTGAATAAGGAGAAGAGGTAAATATCGATATATAAATTCCTGGGTAGACCTTTTTGTTTGTATTCCCTGCATTACATTGAATCAAAGATGTTAGTGATTATCAGACTGTACCTCAAGAAAGGAAAATACATGAATTTTAATTGTAGCATGTGTTCCAAATTCAGTAATAATAAAAAAGCACTACTGGGACCAGCAGGCAGCATAGTGCCTAAGGCGCTGGACTCCTACACGGTTGACTGTGGTTCAGGCCCCGGACCTTGGGGCTTGAAAATCATGTGCGTAGGTGCCCAAAATCCTGAGAAGAGAATGGAGGGAAAGGGATTGCAGCGTGGCTATCCTCCCCGGGCGGTGAGTTCTTACTTTCCCCTCTCACTGTCTCTCTCTGCAAGTGTATGCACCCTATAACAACAACAACAAAAAAATCCTTTAAAAAAAGAAGAGATGGATTACAGGATAAAATGAGTGGTTTGTTTTTACTTTTCCTTTTTTATGATAGAGAGGCACGTGTGTGCATGGAAAAGAAAGGGGGTGAGAAAACACTGTCAATTGGATCTTGTCGGGTCTTGATCCCCTTTCCCTCACGCTCTAGTTCCTCAGGATCCTGGGTGTCGTGCATGCGTCTGCCATGTTTTCAGGCCAACCAAGGCTATCTGACTGTAGCCAGCACAGAACTTTCAGCCTGTAGGAGATTATGTTTTATTGCTGTGCCACAGAGAACAGGCCCTAGAATGAGGGTTTATATATTTTGAAAAATGAATATATACATGAGTATACCTGCTCAGTGTTATCTGCGTTTTCCATTTAGGATATTGCCACCATCTTTTTTTAAGAAATAATTTTATTGTAATTCCGACTTTACGTATAATAGTTGTACATACTTGTGGGGTACAGTGTGGTTTTTCAAAACATGAATACAACATAGAGTACTCTAAGTGGGGAAATAAACATCCCCAACATCTCCAGCATTTATCATGACTGTTGCACACAATTCATCCCCATCTTTTTTTTTTTAAAGAATTATTAATTTAATTTATTATTTTTTAATTTGACGAGAGAGAGAGACAGAGAGAGAAAGTGAGAAAGCACTCTGCCAGATCCAGGACTCGAACTGCGGTCAGCCATGTTGGATTCTAGCACTTTAACCACCACGTGCCTACCAGCCCCTCGTTCCCATCTTTTGCCACGAGTATATCTGGCCATATATCTCCTGTCCCTTCTTTTGGCCTAGGCTGTAAAAGCCAGCACTGAAGCCACCGAGCTGCTGCAGAATATCCGCCAGGCCAAGGAGCGAGCTGAGAGGGAGCTGGAGAAGCTACAGAACCGCGAGGATTCCTCCGAAGGCATAAGAAAGAAACTGGTTGAAGCCGAGGTGAGGAGGGAACCTCCAGCCCACCGGGCTGACGCCCACGTGAACGTCCACGACCAGCCTTTGGCAGTGCCAAGGGAAAGAAAGCGGAAAACCAACACTGCTGATGTTTGACCAATCTGCTTTTTCCTTTTGAAGTTCCCTTTGAAACTTGAGAGGCCTGGAAACATTTTCCCCCAAAGGGAAAGAAAGATTTGTCACAGCAGCTTCCAGTAGAAAGATGTCTTGATAAAAGCTTTTCCTTTCTGTTTGTTTTCCTCTGACCTACTCATCTGGGATAATTTATATGTATGTAGGTTAACTGTAATTCCATCTCCAAGTTTTTCCTTTTCTTCCCTCTGTTTTTCCTTGCCTTTTCTCCCAACAGTGTTAATTACATGTTAATTTTCAAAGCCTCCCCTATCACCTGTGTGTCGAAGACTCTCAGATCTGTATTTTGGGGCCTCTTCTCTCCCTCAAATTCTTTGTTGTTGTTGTTGTTGAAACCGTTTATATAATTATACCAGAAATACATGAGCACCTTCTCATTTTGACAAACTTAAACAGTAAGAAGAACATAGAGTACAAAGTGACACCTCTCCTTTCCTCCCCTCTGCCTCCCCAGCCTCTTGGTGTTTCTTCCGCAGAGTGGGTGTGCCACAGTCGAATCAACCCTCCTCCTGTGGCCGGGCCTTTGCTTTTCTCTGTCACAGTCTAATTGTGACTGTCCTGGCACCTGTCTCTTTGGGGCCATCTTCACCCACATTGCAGGCTACTGCTCCCCTGACCTCCTGACTGGTCATCCACATGGTGCATCCGATTTAGAATAGAACTCGGCATCTTCTCCCCACCCTCCGAACTGGTTTCCTTTTTTAGCTTCCTCAGACTGTTCAGGGCCACCCTTCTTCATCTGGCCACCTCTGACTTGAAACCGTGGTGTCATCTTCTTATCCTTAGACCCTGCCATTCTGTGAGTCCCTCAGTCCTATAAATACAGCTACCCCCATCTCTCCGTTCATCCCCTGCTTGCCATTTCTGTAGCCCTCCTGCTTGCCAAGGTCCTGATCCCCGTAGCTGAGCAAACACAATAATTTCTTGACCTTCTGCTTCTAGTCTCTCCTTCCCTCTAACTAATCACTCCATCTAAGACTTATAGACCCCCATGTACAAGGTCCTTAGCACCACCCGCACTATCCCAAACCTTCCGGGAGTTTCCCGGATGCACCCGATCTGGTACACGAAACTGAGTCATTTGATCTATAAATGTTACACCTTAACCTTCTCACCTGCTGCCCCCTAACATATTCTATGCTGTAGCCGTTTTAGGTGTCACCTGGGGTATACCCTGGCTCTTGAGTACCTCTGAGTTTCTGGCAGCGTGCTTCCCTTGTGTGAAACATCTTCCAGTCTCCTGCCCTCCCCACTAAAAACCACCCGTACCTTCCCTCTGCAATGCTTACTTCTCTGTGTCTCCTCCACTCCACTGTTCAGCCAGAAGTCTTCCTGCCTGCCTGCAACCTCCCACGGCCCTCTGCACCTTTTGCTTTCTGGGTCTTTCTCCTCTTAACCTTTATTATTGTTTATTTGTGTTTTTGTCTTCTGTTTCCCAAGGGTAGGGATGATGTCGTCTTCCTCTCTATGTTCCACAACGACTAGTGTGGTACATTGCAGGTAGTAGGTGCTTGGTAAATATTTGAATGAATGAATGCACTCTTGTAACCTACACCAACGAGTGACCTGGATTATAGAGTCTTATATTCTTTGCTGCTGCTCCGGTTGCCTGGGACTTTTCTTCCCGACTTGAGTATATGCCTC